GGCAGCATCATTTCCTCCAACGTCTTCCGTATATTCCTCATATCCGCTCTTTGTACATTCCATTTATAGCCGACCACGCTCATGGAAGCAACATTGACCCGCGTGAGCTGGCCTACCAGATTCTCGACATTGTGCACTTGCGACCGGAAATCGAACTGTGTTATATGGGTCTGTCCACGAAATGCTTTGAGATCCTGGAGAATCGGCCATCGAACTATGACTTGCGACATGACGGCATGCACACTGATGGTAGTGGCTCTGCATACACCACACATGATCCCATGCTATCTGATGATGAGAGTGAAGCCACCGAGGATGACGACGACGACAGCATGGATGAAGGCGCAGTACCGCCTGGCGGTGACGAGACGGAGAGCGATGTCAGCGATGAAGCGGACGGGGATAGCGATGATGAGTCTTTTATACAGGACTCGCAGAAAGGTCCAAAGCTCAGGGTCAGAGAGATTCTCTTCTATGAGGAGCGAGTGGAGGCTTTCAGACGGCGACATGGTGTGTTGAGACCATGATGAAGACAAGACTACGACACAGGTATTGGCAATTGTTGTAAGTATTTCACGGGATATTTTAATGATGATGCGATGGAGCAACGGCGTCGGATGGCGTATATGGTAGATATCCTTGGTCGGGTTGCATGATACTAGGTATGGTCTCAGGACCCCGGATTTAAAGGAACTGAGAGCGTGCAATGGCGATGTGCGCTTTCCACGTCTATATAGTAATAGAATTCACGATGATAGGTCTATGTAAGACATGATATCTTTGGACTGTAACTCGGTGATGTTGTATTGGCGAACTCGAAGTCATGTCAGTGGCCTGCTCTTGTTACTGCAATAGACATACTACCACGTGAATACGCGTTGCACTTGGTCCGTGCTCCATGTGGGATCGCGACCGACCCTTGCGTAGGCGGGCAGACCGAAGCCAGCCCACCCTGCGACAACCATTTGCCAAACGATATGGTGAGAAAACAGTCAATTCCAAGAAAAGACCTAATAACCGTCACGTGGTCCGCATGCTCATGAAGCCGCCTATGCTACATCAGACACACCGGTAAACAATCGCATAGCGGGGCCTGCGCATCACCTCCGCAATGAACCATTCAACCCTAGTCTTCGCATCCGTCTTCCCCGTCCTCTCCTTCTCACACAGCACGCCCACACCAATTGCGACACCGGATTTGGGCTCTACTGTGCCAGGAACTTCATTTGGGAATCCCTATGCTCTGCGCAATACCGATGCCCGAGGCCAAGGGCAAGGCCAACACCGAGCGGTCAGGCGCAACAGCGCGTGGAGCTGTGCAACGAGATTCCTGAGCTTGCTAAATGATGTTTCTATTTTCCCGCGAATGCAAAGGACGAGGGAGGTGGAGGATGCCCTAAACTACTTGCTGGTTGGAGAAGGCAAGGTTGAGGACGCCAACGAAGAAAGCCTGGTGGAATGGTATACAAATGAGTGCCGCTTGCACTTTGCAAACCATGTGAGGCCGGGATTGGAGCAACTCTGGCAGGAAGAGGTTGAGCTGCGCCGTGCTTGGGATTTACTAGACAAGACACAGCATATCCTTGAACAGGCCCAGAACGTGTACCTTCAACCCTTCACCGAACACTTGTTGCAAGTTATACAGCAGAACGCAAGTAGTTCGACGCTTCATCCGAACACGCAGACGCAGACGAACGAGTCTGATGCTGCGAGCGCAGCGGATTGGAAGTTTCGAAGCGATATACAAGCTGTGTTTGCGTACTGCCTGCCTCGGCAACGATACTCGAAGACGGTGAGTTATGTCCTGTACGACGCGGGATGTAGGCTGTTCCGCATCTACAACCGCCATGATGGCGTGGAGACGAGGAACATGTCTCATGACACGCAACAGACCAGGAAGCGAATGACAACTCTACTACAAGGGCTGGAGCGCATCGGACTCGGTGGTGACAGTGCCCAAAAGGCCTTCGCCCATGCCATGACAAAGTTGATTGATTCCTTTATAGGAAGCCATTATCTCAAGGTTGACTGGTATTCCAAGAAGACGATTGTGCCGCAGTTGAAGATGTGGATTCAGGACGGCTTTTGCCCGCTCGTCGAACTAGTATTGGAATGCCTGAGATGCGAACAGAGTAACATCCTGCCGACTGAAGTATCTTCATGGCAGGAGATGGCGCTGGGCAGGTTGGGTAGAGCGCGAGTCGACAACTTGTTTGATTTTGTCATCAATTGGGACAAGAGTATGGGCGCCATCCTAGATATCAAAGAGTATCTCAAGGTGGCGAATGCAAAACAGCATCTTACGTCAAGCTTTTCGCAACAAGTCTCAAGACGTCTACTGCATCCTGGGGCTACGACGACATACATCCTGAACGTGTACATTTCCATTATTCGTTCTTTCCATGAGCTGGAGCCTAAGGGAGTGTTGCTCGAACGAGTAGCAAGACCAATTCGGCGGTATCTGAAGGAGCGAGAGAATACAGCCCGTATCATCATACTGAGTCTGCTTACTGATCTCAAAGACGATACCGGCAGCAAATTTTCGTCTAACAGCGAGTTATCATACGAAATTGCAAGTGAGATGGCTAAGCCCATTGCAAGCTTTGGGCAGGACGCCGATGAAGAGCTTAACTGGAACGACATGAACTGGCAGCCGTTACCGCAAGATGCCTCACCCGACTACAAGAAATCCAAGGTCGAAGATGTCATCTGGTTCCTCTTGACGTTATGGGAGCGGGACGACTTCGTCAATGAGCTGAAGAATATTTACGGAGAGCATTTGCTCAAGTGTCAAGACCCCGAGTACGAGAAGGAGATCCGACTGTTGGAGCTTATCAAGGTACGGCTAGGAGATGACAAGCTACAGGCGTGTGAAGTCATGCTTCGCGATATGCTAGAATCCAGGCGTATCAACAGCACGATACGCACAACCTCTAGCGCACCGGCTTCAAACTCGCTGGTCACACCAGATCAGCATAGTAGACAACCTCGAACACCAGATGGTCGTCAACCACGAACGCCACGGCCTCGCCGTCCAGCAAGATCAGCCAAGAAAGTCACACCTTCTGGCCCAACTTCTGCACCGGCTCCAGGCCCAACACTCAACGCACAGATTTTATCGTCATTCTTCTGGCCACAGCTCCGCGACGACACGTTCCAAGTACCTGAACAAATCAGTACGCTGCAAAAAGAGTATGAATCACGCTTTGAACGCATCAAAGGCATGCGCAAGCTACGCTGGATGAACGCCCTAGGCACCAGTTCAATAACTCTCACCTTTGAAGACCGCACCGAAGACTTTGAGAAACTCACTCCCTGGCAAGTCAGCGTCATCCACGCCTTCCAGCCGCAACCGGGCGAAGAAGAAGAAAACACTACAGCCAAAAAAACCGGCGAAGGCACAACCCGTACAATCTCCCAACTCGAATCCCTCCTCCAAATGGACGAATCCCTCCTCCACCAAGCCCTCAGCTTCTGGGTCGGAAAATCCATTCTCCGCTTTCACCCACCATCAACTTACTCCGTCATCGAGTCCCTCCCCAAACCCACTTCGCAAACCGGCGCCCACGACGCTGACGCTGCCGCAGCCGCCGCAGAAGAACTAGCGACCTTGCAAGCGGACCCCGGTGCCGCCGCCACGACCATTAAATCGCAATCTGAGCTGCTGAATGAGAAGAAACATGTGTACACGGCGTTTATTATGGGTATGCTGACGAATCAGGGAAATATGGATGTCGGGCGCATTGCTATGATGATGCGGATGATGGTTCAGGGAGGGTTTCCGCATGGCGCTGAGGAGGTGGGGGTTTTGCTCGAGGAGTTGGAGGGGGAAGGGAAGGTGGTGAGGGTTGGTGGGGGGGTTTGGGGTGTTAGGAAGGGGTGAGCTGATTGGGTGCGGGAAAGGAAGGGGGGTTTGATAGATGATGAATGGAATGATTGATTCGATCTTGTCACTGTTTTTTTTTGAAGAGGAGTGCACTTTTTGATGGCGGGTATTTTGGCCTGCCTGTTTGCTTGCTTGCTGAGCTACTGGGGTGTTTTTTTTTCACGGGCTTCACATACTGTTCTCCAAGTTAATCAGCTCGAGTGGATGATGATTGTTCTTCTCTTGGAAAGTCTCATGTACGTTACTGTACAGTTCGAAAGTTCAAGTTCAATTACTGTTTGCTGTTAATTCTTCGGGATTGCTGTGTGCAGTTTTAGAAAGCTTCTTACTTCCTGTGATTTATTTATTTTTTGCTTTTGAGGGTCCCGCATGCGGTTGGAGGAGTCGCGTGAGTGAAGGTATGATGTAGTATGGTTTTCGGGAGAGTCATGGGTTGATTGCTCTACGGGAGAGCCGAAGCAAGCAGTGCAAGTATGTTATGCCCGCCTAGTCCATGTCACTGCATGATTTCTAGCGAATTTCCTTTTTCTCTGTTCTTCGCATGTGAAACAATGATCGTGTACATGCTTGTCCTTCCCGTTGTATTCTTGCTCTGCACGGGATATATTTTTTGGAAGACCGGTACGCGTAAATATGCGATTGCAGAAAACGAAGTTTCGAGTTTAATCGGTGTGGATTGAAAGAAAAGGGATATATCGTCAGACGTGCGATTGGAGATTGTGAGAGACGATGGTGTTTCTTATTATTGTTCGGAGAGTGAAGAAGTAGAGGGACGCATAGGAGTAAAGGACAGTGTAGGGAAGATAGGAGATGGTGAGAGAGGTGAGGAAGGTTGTTGATTGATTTGAGTGGCGTTGCATATTCAACGAGCTCTGCTGATGCATTTCTGCATGTGATGTAGGATGCATATTATCATGTAGGGTTTTTTTCTTCTCTCTTAGTTTTTCGAGGGGTTTCGTGCACGAAGAAATACGATCTAATTAGCTTTAAGAAGCTCTACGCTGATTAGCCATGCTAATATACCAGGAATTTCTGTATATGGATAGCGCCTAGCTACGTACGTGACGAATACTAGATTCTTCACCAGACCAGCCAAACCAGCTAGACAACGAACTCAACCCCTAGCCAAAACGAACCAAAAACCAGCCAGACCAGCCAGAGAAAGAGCTAAAAAAAACCTGCTCTCTGTAGGAGCCGCCGGGGGCAAAGAGCGCGCGCTGTAGGGGCGCCTTATATTATATATAAAATTTACCTATTTTATATATAATGTTACAATCTTGCATTATCGGACTACCCACCCGTCGTCTTTCCGTTTGCAGTATATCCATCCACCACTATGTTCAAACATGATACGATGAAGATTCCGTCCTAGGTCTTCAGTCATATAACCCTTTTTATCGCCGTTCAAGAGCATGTCGACCAAGCCTCCTTGGTGATGACCCAAGAGAAGTATCAGCTCTTTTGCGTCACCCCCATATTGTCGAAAGACGTTGATGTTTTCTTTTTTGATAAAGCTACCAAGTTCGCAATGGTCGAGAAGCATTCTTACTACATCTCCATTGGATCGGCCTAGGATGTGCATCATTACCGATGTTGCTATTGGTACATCTTTTCTCCGCCGACGCAGGAGGTATTCCATCAGTCGACTGCTGTCATCTCGAAAGCCTGTAGCCCTGATTGTTTCTTCGGTGATTGTAAATTCCTCGCCTACTTCATCGAGAAGCAGCCCCACCCATTTCAGGAATTCGGAGCTCCATTCGATTCTCGTATCGAACTTATCTGGTGCTATCATACCTTCTTTCCTGCCCTGACTTAGAAGAACCTGAGCTAAAAAGATCGTGTTTCCATGATTCTTTATAGTTTCTTCTACTATGTTTTGTGTGATTCTGACGTTTTCCTTCCTCCGACTCAAAAGGAATTTGGTCACCTCAACAGATCGATCTTTTCTTCTGACGGCTGCCAAAATCATCTCTTGTGTAATCTCGACGTCTTCCCATGAGTCAAGCAAAGCTTCTATCGCTTCCAGGGAAATCTTCGAAACAGTCGCTGTCAACATCGTCCTCTTACTCTGTTCATTTACCTTCCACAGATCGACGAGGATCATTGCCACATATTTGCAATCTTCAGGAGGAGCATCCTCCAACACCTCTATAGCACGCGAAACCCCAAACTCCTTTTGTGCAACCAGATGAGAAAGTATCATGAGGCTTCCATTTCTAGCCGCGAGACCTCCAAGACTTCGCCCTCCCGCAGTTCTGTAAGGTGCTGTAAGCGCTTCGCTGACAAAAAGTTCTTTTTCCAATTCCTCGAGGTCAAAAGCACAGGCGATAAACAACCCTAGAGATTGTGGTGGTGAGTCGCTACCGGGTCGACAGGCCCAAATCCAATGTTTTGTCAATATGTAACGATAATCATTTGGAATCTGACCAGCGAGAACATCTTGTATCAAGAGAGCCATGGATGAAGTATCCCCTTTGTCTTTTTCATCCAAGAACAGATGCTTCAAAACGGCCCTCAAGTTGCCCGATTTTCTGCAAGCTCCTGCTGCTCGACCGTGAGCAGGCCAGTAATATCGTGCATAATCTTCAATTGTCCTAACTCCTGAGGGCTCAACCTCGAGTTTCCAGCCAATATGACGGAAGAGCTTCTGGACTTCTGAGTTTGATCTTTTACAAAGAACAGTCCAGAGACAAGCTTCCGCAATCATGCTGTTGGATGATGGTTTGCTGAACTCAGGTCTTTCTTCCAAAAATTCTCGCACGGATAGATGTGCGAAACGAAACGTATCAAGCTGTGAGTCATGAACGATGAAGTTGTTGCAGTACTCAACAATCGTTTCTTGAGAGACCGGTGTTTTTTTGCCTCCATAAGGAATTGTCGTTACCGCGGCCAGGAACTGATCGGTTGGGAGCGTGATTTGGGCTGATAACAACCAGCACAGAGCATTTTTGAAAATGGTCTGTCGATAGTCGCCTGGCATTGTTGAAAGCTTGTTGTAGACTTGGTTATACTGCTCACGCAGATCAGGGGGAAGTCGGCCCATGGCATCTCTGATGTCGCCATCTTCAGTGAACAAACAAAGATATTGCAATTGCATGCTAGCCCAACGAAACCTGAGGAGGATGTCAAAATCAACAAATTTGAGTATGTGTAATCAGACCTACATTCCATGAGCACTTGCAGTCGTTTTGGAAATAATCAGCTCCTTGAGCTCATCTCGCGAATTGCTACGGCATAGTAGCTTTCTACGCTTAACCAGTTGTTCTGTCTCATTCTTGACAAACCGTGCAATATCGCTCTCATTCATCCTAGAGTTGATCTCCAGATTCGGGTAGTTTTTCAGCTGCAATACGATATCTTGGTCATTTCGGCTCGAAACGAAAATCTTGACCAGGCTAGATGCGTTTTTGAGAATCGCCTCCAGATACTCAAGTAGCTCCCATCGCGTCCCTATATCGCATTCGTCCATGGCATCTATGATGATCGTTGTCTGGGGGTAGATTTCGATGAGCTCCGTGATAAGGTCGCAAATTTCTGTCATCTCGGGCTGTCCGGACGCAAACCCTTGGCTCTCTTCACTCTGATACATATCGACTATAGGTTTTAGAAGAGGCATCCCCAATTCTATGTTTGATAGTTGGCGCGCAATACTAGCAAGTATCCCCCTGGGGCTCGATCGTAAAGGCTCTGCTGGATTTCTTGAACAGTAGAAGAATACTGGTTGCGGGCTATTTCGAGCCTTGAAATTCTTCATCGCATCTTCGATTACGACCGACCTGATAATATCAGCAAATTTTTCACAAATACACGGTGTATGAGAATCTCACACAAGTTTACTCTTGCCTGATCCAGCGATCCCATGGAGCCACAAAATTGAAGATGCGCTGTCATCCTTCCACTTCTTGAAGATAGCGTCATCTAGAAGCCACATTCCGGTCCCAGCTAGAAAATCCTTCTTGACTTGTTTGTGGTATCCCATATAAGGCTCAGAGGAGAGCCATTGAAGAATCTTCGTGCGCTCCGATCCTGTATATGTAAGTTGCTTTTCAATCGAATACCACGGTCACTCACTTTCAAGATTGTCTTGCACATGCTCAAGATTTCGATCGATTCTTTTCAGTGGCCCATTCATGGAGTTCAGTAGAGCTGCTAGCTTATCGTTTTTCTCGATACTATCTACCGAAATTGTTAATGGATTTGATGATTAAAACCAGCTAGTACTAACCATTTCTTTCGGCCAAAGATATCCAGTTCTTTACCTGTTCTTCTGCTCTATGGATCTCATCCAGAGTTGACTCGAACGAATTTTCGGAAAGAACAGTGCTCTTTATTAATCGTTCTAGTATTTTTCGTTAATGGGTATACTCTCTACATATTGAATGAAGCTTACTTGCAGTCCCCTGCCCAAAGTATGCTGTTATATTAGATAGGTGGAGAAGAATTTTTGAATAAAGTTTAACTAAAGCTCTCTGTAGCGCTTCATGAGCCGCTGATGAATCGTAGATATACAGAGCTTCTAGGATAGTGTAGCGGCAAATCAGCTCAGATATCCAAGTAAGATCTTCCATCACCAAGGACATTTTGTTGGTATCGTTCAAAGCAATCTAAGATTATGTCAAGGTCTTCCTTGGAATTGGAAACTAATGAATCACTCACTTGCAAGATGAGGCGAATACCCGCCCAAGGAAGCGTAGCATGTGTGGGGTCGTACTGAATAGCCACATCTCCAATCCCCTTGAACATATCAAGCCATCGAAGAAATTTCTCCAAAACATCCCTAATTATGACTGTTTCTCCGCTCTTGCGAGTGTACTTCCATCTCGATATCATGAACTGATTTCTTGATGTTTCGGCTTTCTCACGTAAGTCTTTGAGAACGTCGATCTTCTCATATTGGGCAAAGTTGATTCCGTGCTTGTGTTCTGCAGGCAACTGGTCTATAGCCTCAGTCCAGAGATTGGTGCTGAAGCGATGAAAGTATTAGTAGACACATGACTAGACGATTTGCTCAATAGACATACGACGCGTTGGATTGGGGAACAGTTAATGTAGCCATGGTATAGATAGACTATGAGAAACAGGGTGTTTGAGAAGGCAATCATGCCCTTTTCGGGTTCACATGGGGGGAGAGGACCAAGGCGTTTTGCAATAGTGTTTGCGTAGGTGATATTCGTTGATTATAGGAGCCAGAAAACTCTTGCTCGCGCGTTTGGGCGGAGACAGATCAACAAGTGAATTCTTAATTGTAGTAAAGATGCGTGAAAGAAAGAGAAAGAGAAGTGTTGGAGCTTTCAGCCTTGGGATGGGATGTGCTGTGAGCTGAAGTGGAAGGTGGCTGTGTTATTGCACACGCAACCCCGCAGTCGCCAACAGCAACAAGGCTGGCAGTCGCTGCTTCACCACATTGGATCTGCTACTCCTTTCAGTACAACTTGTGCATCTTTCACGAAGAATCAATAGCAAACAGTGATTGAACCTGAACTTTGAATTGTACAGTGGCGTACATGAGACTTTCCAAGAGAAGGACAATCACTGTTGCTAGTTCAAGACACCCACACCATACATGCCACCGTCCTTAATCTACTCAATGACTAACGACTTCATCGTAACCTCCAACGCGCCCTCGAAATTTCCACTGATGGCATAGATACTCTGCATCGCAAACGCGGCGTCGGTGCTGAAATCCTCACACCCCCAATTCCCATCTATACATTGGTCCTGTGCTTCCTTCCTCACCTGCTCGCTGAGCGCAACACATCTCTCATACACAGGGAGCGCCAGCGCAACAAGACCCAAACTGTGCCACATGCGGCCGACGTTGAACTCTGCTTCCTGGCGATGAATGGCGTGTAGGCTTTTAATGCGGAGATCGTAATATCTGTAGATAAAGGACAGACCTTGCTGGATTTGGTACTGCCTGTTCTCTGAGAGGCGTTTCATAGCGTGTTGGATGTATGCTACGCCTATGCCCAGATTTATTACTGGATCTTCAGGCGTAAGAGCGAACGCACGGAAGTAGTAGTTTAGCGCTGCCATGTAGCTTCCACCGCACATTAGAACGTGTGCGTATAATGCAAAGAGCGCGGGGTCATGACCCCTGACTTTGTCCACGTCCTCGATGTTGACATTATTTCTGAAACCGCCTTTGGTGGCTTTGGTGCTGAAGTTAAACTCGATACGCTGTTCCGGGGTAAGGAGCGCGTAGTCAACCGTCTTTATGTAGCGCATGAGTACTTTATATGCGGGACCAGTGGCAAAGCCTTCGGGAAAAGAGCATAGACGATTGACGGCGCTGTATAGACGGAAGAGGTCGGTACCAAACGGGTATTCTTTAAGAAGCCAACGCGCTGCAATAGAGGCTTGCGGTGAGTTGTCGGCTGCAAGTGCACAGGTGAGTCGGCATATTTGAAGTTGTCGATGGTAGATTTGGGAGCGATGAAAGATATTGGCCTGGAGGGCGATATCGAGTGTAGCAAAACATTGCTCTTCATCACCCTCGCCAGCAAGCAGAATGGCATAACGGCCAAATGCATCACACCATTTATCGAAATGGACGCCCCAGAAATCAGTCGGAGGTGTACTCGGTCGTTCTTGGAGTTCAGGATTTGTCTCGCCGTCCTCGACATTGTTTGCTACCACAGCAAGTACCATCAGTGCAGATTCTTTCCAAAGATCTCCCGCTGTTACGCGTCGGAAGTAGGTCATGAGGTCTTCTTTTTTGTTCGAATAAAATAAGTCAAATGTCGAAAATTCTTCAATCAGCTCTCGGGTAATGGACAAGACTTCTTTGGTAGCTTCTTCGTCTCCAACTTCTGCTGGCTCCCATATCTCATCCAATCGTTTGAAACTGGAGACAATTTCTCGATGCTGAGCTCTCGCAGCCTTCAGATCGTCGGCAAAATCTGTGGCAAGCTTTTGAAGTTTGCCGCGGAACAGTCTATTTGTAATTGCCCGATATGGCACATCAGTACCCTCAATCGTAGCCGGTCTGGGTTCGACGTCGGGCGTTGGTTCGGCGTCTTCTTCGCGCACATCAAGGAATGCCTGGATCTTTGGCGCCTTGGTCCTCTTTGTTCGGAATAGACCTTTCTTCGGTCGTTCAGTAGGGGCGATAATTCCTGGGAGCTCCTTGTTTCCCGTTTCATTCGCCGAATCATACTCTTCGCCATTCTGTCCAGTCGCCTTTTGCATCTTCTTTCTGTTCCTCCGTACAGTACTTTTTCGAACAGCATACCTACCCCGAGCCTGTCTGCGTTGGTTGTAATAGTATACTCTGAGCTCATCATAGGCTTGAAAGCCCAGAGCCTTGAGTTTGTGACCATACTTATCGCGGTAAATGGTCTCTGCACGCTGTCCAGCTTCTTGCCACATGCCCTGGTCTTCAAAGAACTTTGCAAGAATAGCGAGGTCATCGTAACTTTTCGCTGGCCATTTCTTTAGAATAGGAATAACTTCTGCCGCCTTTTCAGTCCGCCCTTCATTCTTGAAGCAAGTGTGCAAGCCAATGTAGCTCATGAGATTGAACTCTCTTGAGTCATTGCTGAACAATGGTTCATAGAAACGCAGCGCATCCTTGTCGTGGCCAGTAGCGTGTAAGGCATCGCCGATAATTCGGAAGAGATCTTCATAGTCCCACATAAGAGCATCTGGACCTTGATCGTCTGGCTCCAACATTTCCAGATGGTACTAATACAATTAGCAAATGTACGAATTCATCAGCCACTACTATACTTACCATGGCTTCCTTGAAGTCATCTTTACTTCTGCGCAGCCGAAACAACCCAAGTTTGACCCTGATCTCTAGTGGAAGAGTTGAGCCATACTTGGCATCTTGGGACTTCCGCACAAACTGTGGAACAGCGACACGCCTTGGCTCATCTTCAATATCAAACTCGCGGTCGTCGTCAATTTCATCCCAAAATGTCTCTGCATGTCTGCCTTGCTTCCATCGCGAAAGCGATTTCAACTTTGTAACTCCCGTAGCGTAACTGCCTGCTCTGTCTAGCAGATCAAGATAGATGTTGATCAACTCCCAGTCGAGGTCATTCGTGACTGGGTCCCTGCCAGGTTGCGTGAACACATCAATAGCCTCCTCAAAGCTATCGATAAGTTTGCGGAGATGTATCTTGGTCTGCCTTGGTGATGCAGTGCCCATCATTGCCATGATCTTCAGCACACTGGTGTCCGGATCTTCTCCCTGCTCTTTACGTGTCTTGAGCATCTTGAGGCCCAGCATCACGCACTTTGAAGAACGCCCTAGTTGTGCCTCAATTTCAAGTTTGTGGCTGCGAGCCTCATAGTCGTTGTTGAGCAGGATGATCTCATTCAAGCATGGAAGTATAGCAGCCGACTTGTTCTCATCAGTAAAACGTGGGTGTTGCTCCGGGTCTAACTGTTGGATACGCTCGATGATGAACTGCCAAAGACCAGGGTCACGCTTTGTTGGCGCTCCAGCTAATAGTACAGCTATGGAATCTTCTTCGCGACCCATTTCAGTGTAAATTTCAGAGGCGATGTTGTAGGCATCGAAAATCTCCGGGTTGAGTTGGATAGCCTGCTGAGCAAACGAAAGGGCTGCCTCATAGTCCTTCTCGATGAATTTGGCGTTAGCCTGTTGCTGCAAGGCTTTCCATTCCGCACCTGGGTCGGCTACAGCGCGGGGACCTCGGGGACCTTTCTCTCGTCCAGGTTTCCCTCGCTTCCTCCCCCGTGTAGACCTAGCGCCACTATCACCACCCCGCCCTCTGGTCGAAGGGCGCCCTCTTTTGCCCCCACGCCTCCCTCTAGTACTCGACGTGGGTATAATACTACCCACAGCAGGGTTTTTGGCGGACTTTCTGCTACTACCTTTCCCTCTCTTGTACCTGACACGCCCTTCCATGTCCTCGAATTCAACACCCAGCTCCATCTCATCAGAATCGCCCTCATCTTGCTGTGCATCTTCGGACGAATAATCCGCGTCGACTTCAGAGTCGTCTTTCTGAGTTTGTAGTAGCCGTTCTCGCTCCTCCTCTTCTTCAAGCATACGTCCATACTCGTCGTCTTCGTCGTCTTCCTCTTCCTCTTCTTCTGAGCTCTCAAAATCGCGATCATAAATCGAAGAGTGAAATTCACTAGCTTTGGTATACTCATCTTCATCCTCTTGTTCAGGGTTCGCTGGGATGAACCCTTCGAAGACCGCCGGCCCACTAGTAGCATAAGCCCTATTAAATGGATCTTGAAAATTGCCACTGGTAAAAGGTGGCAAAGGCACCTCGTCTTCTAAATCTTCTACGGCATTCAGTGGAATTAAAGGTATGTACGGATTCCGGGTCGGCGGTTGATGGTGGAATTGAGAAGGCTGAAAGTCAGGCTGGTGGTACACTGAGTGGGAAGGAAACGGCAGCCCATTTTGTGGGAACTGAACCGGATACTGCTGTCTGCCATGTTGCGCAGCTGGCTGCATCAAGTTGGAGGTATCATCTTCGAAAGTACCCGGAACAGGTGGGAAGCCTCTATCGTCCTCATGATGCTCAGGGTTCCATTGCCTGAAGTATTGATCATCCAGGTTCATTGTGGGCTCTAATACTGCGGGTTTGCATTAGTTGACAACTGTTAGTGGTAGATCAATGCAGCATCTGATACAGAGAGGCTGGTGGTGAGGAAAGCTTTGGAAGCAGGGATTGTTTTCGTTCTAAGAGGCTAGCGTCCGTGCTTCGCGCTAGGGCATGTCGTGCAGCCAAGTCGCGTGCCAGCTTACCTCCAGAGCAGCGTACCAGTTTCTCTAATCACATTGCTGGTCAGTATTAGGGTTTCATTATCTGGGGAAATACCAGAGGATCTAGCGGGAAAAATAGACGAATACCCTGAATGTATAATACTTCCCGCTAATTCGAACCATGCTGGTTGGTAGCATTTTGGCGCCATCCATGGAAATAGCACCAAGAGGACATCGATGCCGATTTACCGACAATGGCCTAGCCTTCTCACTTAGTCTTTTGGGCCCAATAGAAGAGCCCAATATGCACTACATCTAGGCCCTCGGCAATGCTGCTAAGAAGTATAAGTGGAGAGGGGTTATATCGTTTGGTTTCAGGGCCACAGCAGCTTCTCCGCACACAACACGCGCCACAACTCGTCTGGAAATATAGATAGCCACCTTCTCAATACAACTGTCTGCTTCAGAACACCATACCTCAGCCATGTTCAAAAAGTTTATCATGTACAGTTTCGCGTACGCGTCTCTCGCCGTCGCTGCCAGCATACCACTGCATAAAGTACAGCAGCCTCTTCTCCCAAATCATCAAGCAGGTGGATTGAAGTCACACAACATCCATGTCATGTTGGCATTTATTGAGAGTGGAGGCAATATGCAAAAGCTGGCGGAAATCCCACTAAACACACGGATCGTCGCTGGTACGTTACTTTGCCGTTGGAGCTGGAGCTTTCAACTATGTGCACGTCTTGGACAAGCTCCCTGCCTATCTGTAGACTGTAGCAGCAGTAAATCCTCCCCAAGAGCCACTGACACTGCGGCTAGGCCTCAATATACCAAACCGTCTAAGCGCTATCAAAATCGCTATGGCAGTCACAGTCGAAGACCGTTCGATATCACTAGAACGCCTGGACAAAATCATGTGCAGAATCACGCCAAAGACGGATGCCAAAGAGAAAGAGGCAATGAAAGGCGAAGGGGAGCCAGATGAGCTGCCGTGGTTCATGTTGCGGGACGGCACGGTCGAACTCGAAGATAGTTCGTCGGAATGGTTTCTTGGAGGCAAAGCGATACAAAGCTTCGAGTGCCGTTAACGCGCCACAGTGATGATGACTGAGCAGACTGTTTGACGCCCGATCCAAATGCTAATGTATAATGCTCTATGCTCTCTCCGGGTATATTAAAATGCTGCTTCGATGCCAATCGATATGTCCAAGTCAGGCGAACCCAAACGCCTGTTATGCAAAGGATGGAGAGTGGTCAGACGTTGTTATCCCCTTCATTCATGCCAACCATTTCGTATTCCCCCGCGCCGTCCTTCCCTCTACCCCTGCCTCTGCCCCTAGACTCGCCGCCCTCTTCTTCGGCCGCCGGTTGCGGTTGCGGTCGCGCGGGCGTCTTGCTCCCAAAGTTGATGGGTCTCAATTCACGCCACTGGCATGCCCACACACCCAAGGAAGTCATGATGGTCGCGCTGCATATCTGTAGCGCCCACCAGAAGAGGTTCGCGGGTATCGCATGCGTGTATAAGGAGGTGACGATCAAGTGAATAAAGTGCACGGTAAGGGCAAAATCAAGGACGAGCTTAGAGCGGGCGATGAGGAGCAGTATGAAAATGGCACTGTGGCGTGTCAGACAGTTGCACCACGAGGCGCGTAGGGAAGGACTTACCAGGCGAGGCTATTCAACATCCAGACCAGGCCCAATGTCCATCCAACCGTAGTATCTCCGCTCAGGCTTTGCCAGTTGAAGAGGAGATCCAGGCTGACCTCCTTGCCCGCTACCAGGGCAGTGAAGAGAATAAGGATCCCGGCGCATGCATAGTATGCAAGTTGCAGGAGGACAATCTGGGAGAGGATGCGGATTGGCGAGAGATCCGCGAGTGCACCGGGTCGAGGGGGGCGGCGTCGGCGTGGCATGAATCCGCAGGCGATGCGCTATGGCATGGGCATATGGAGTGGAGAGTCCCAAGGTCACGTCGGTTGGTCCTGTATTACTAGTTGGCAAGGTTGCCTGTTCGCGGATGGTTCGCTGAAAGGGTTCGGCGAAACGTAGAGCGTCAGCGCCGATGTCATAGCGTGGGAACTTTTGCCAAGCATCAATTCGACATTCTGCTCTGCATTAATACCGACAGCCCTGCCTACCAGCTCTACCAAAGAGCCCTGCGGTATAAATTTTACCAAAGTATGCAATCTCGGAACCCAATTTATGTGATATATTCATACCGCTCCAGTCTAACACGTGCGCCAGCTTCAACCTCCTGCCCCCGCCTCCATCTCCGACTCCGCCGCATCTTTCTCCGCAACTTGACATTCTACAACCATGGGCTGGTTCAGCTCAAGTTCAAAGGAAGACTCCGGTGTCAAGAAGACAGAAGGCGGCGCATTCGAGTCGCCCTCACGGTCAAATCGCAAACAATGCTACGCAGCGCGCGACGCCTTTTTCGAATGCCTCGACAAGAACAACATCCTGGACAGCATAAACACAAAGTCTGGAAGGGACAAGGCTGCAAGCTTCTGTGGACAACTGGACAAGGAATTTGAGAAGAATTGCGCACATAGCTGGGTGAGTCAATACTTGGTCTAGTGTTGGGTGACCACATCACATGTCTAAGACCGCAGGGATGGATAAGGGAGAGTAATGCTAATAAAAACCAGGTTGAATACTTCAAGAAGCAACGAGTGGTCAACTACCAACGCGAGCAAACCATCAAAAAGATTGAAATGCAAGGCGGTGAGATTACAGCACCGCAGTTACCTCTACCAAGTCAGAACAGGTGATTCACGGTGCTACTAGAAGATTTGCTCATCTGCCTTGAGCAGTAGTCTTGTTTTTCCTTTGACGCCGCTCATGACCCTGTACAATATGTACGATATGTAGTACCAGTAGTAGTATCAGTAAATATACACAATTCCCTAGCCCGCTTGTAGATGAGCAGGACCGGCATGGCATGCACCACAGAAACAAAAGCCAGCTTGACTCAAAATGGTATGTAACTCCAAACCCTGCCATAATATACTTCATGGTTGCATATAATGAAAGGGCCAACAACATCGGCACTTCTTTACCCTCCAAAATACATCACATGCAAAGTGCCCCTCCCCGTCACATTCTCCACACCTCTTTAACCAAGGGGCCCATGCACATGCACATGCACGTGTACTTACAGTCGGTAAGTATGCATGCCCCAATGCAACAGAACAAAGCTGGAACTGCTGGAACTATCCACCCGCGAACTTATTTCTCACTTGCAAAGACTAGTAAAAACAAGTCCGAATGGACACGAACATGGATGCTGAGGCCGACTACATGCGCACTCGAAACCTTATTGCTTCCATACATGTTAAGCGCCAACATGGCACAATGTCGTCACCCGGCCCCGAAACCATTCAGGCGCATCTCCGAGACAAGTTGCAGCCCGCAAACTATACGTGCCCCCAACGAAATGAAAGATGATCATCGAGTTGGGGAAGCAAAGTTTTGCTACTAGCAGGTAGAAATAAATTGCTACAACACACACGTGCACTAACCATCCAGTCCCATGACCAACACTCATCTACGTACTACTATGTAGAAATACCCAACCAAAATTAAGCGTGCACATTCCCCTCTAGCTCCCATGCACTCCAGATGCACGGCCCCCAGGTACATTATCCATCAAGGAGCAACCATACCGAGTACACCCCCCCCCCCCTCCGTCCGAATCTCATCGGCATCTACATCCCGTGTCTTGGCACTTCACTTGTCCTATGCGCATTCTGCCTCGGTCGCAAAGACCAAAGAAAGAGAAAATGAAAGGAAATGGTAAGGATGAAGGTTAAGTATATCCGTTTGAGAGAAAGCTAGCGCAATACCTACATACACGTGTAAACAAGTACCTTTATTACTTCCGGCAAAAAAAGGGAAGCATGACTCTTCTTGGAGATACATAGAAGTTGTTACTTAATCAAAGAATCCAATTGGGGATGGGCAAGCGAAGCACAGAGACATACAAGACCGTTGAACCAGGGTAATAAATAAAAAGAAACGTCGCATGTAAGACGGAGTATGCGCCGTTGCAGCGAGGCGAACGGGGAACAAAGTAAAAACAGTAAAAAGGGTTCTTGCAAACAGAGTTTAAGTTACGCACGTAAGGACAGTTGGAAACGGCCAAACGGGCAAGGAAGGGGAGCAAGGAGGGTCTGTGTGTGTGTGCTGTAGATGTGAGTTATGTCCGTAACGTTTTGTGGAACGAAAAGGAAGCAAGGAAGGAGGACGGACGGGAAAAGGAGTCCCGATCAGCACAGCACACACACACACACACACACACACATACACAAAAAAAATACCCGAAGCTGGGATATGTGGGTATCAACCAGCAGAGCGAATCGGGCGAATTTCTGAAGAGCTTAACAAAGGAAAAAAGAGGAGCCAGCAATCGGGACGTCGTTGCAGATTGGAACCACTTTATCGCATACATGGGTTCCCTTTTCCCTTTCTCCCCTCCCCCCTTCTCCCTCCTTTCCCCTTCCTCTCCCCCCGCCCTTGTCACTTTTCCCCGCGAATGACGACCCGCCTCTAACGTCGCTTCGCGCGTGAACAATGCGAAAAGCAAATAGCTAAGGGAAAAAAAAAGCCAAATGGATCGACGAGGGCAAAAATAGACTGTGCGTGACTACAAATTGTGCTCTCACAAACCACAAATGTATAGTGCAAGCAAAGCAGAAAAAAACAACAGAAAAAGACCGCTTGCCGTCCATGGTTTACCTAATGCATCTGTATATTAAATACTTGATTGGCTACCGTTATACTTTCCAACCCGCTCTACCCACCCACCCGCCCCCTCCCAAGATAAGGCATTGGCAGCATTTTAGCCGCAGCATCGAGCACCAAGGCCCCAAATCGCGCCACCTGGTCAGAATTTGTCGGGTTCGGCGAGATCTGAGCTTTATTTGTCTCGGTTATCTCTCTGTGTGCAGAACCAAAGGTGGTGCCGCCGCCTCCAACCCCACCTTGCCCACCTGCCACACCACACATCCCATGACTTCATGACCGAGTCAAGTCCATTTTGGCCCTTTCCTTCTTTTTTTGCCCTTTTTACCCCTCTATTGGCTCTATCTCTCCCGCGCCTGCGCAGAGGTTATTTCTGCCTTTTTTTGGTTGCCAGCATGAACGGTATGTGTGCATGCATGTTGTGTGAGTAGTATATCTGTACTTAGTATGTATGTGCGTAATGCAACCTCGTACTGCCCTTAATTGCGGAATTTCCGTGTGTCCTTGCAGTTGAAATGGGGCACATGCGACTGTTGATTTCTTTGTTGCGCTTCATTCCCGACCATCTTTTTTCTTTAGGGGGGGGGGGAGAGTGGTAGTCAAATCTTGTCACCCTTTCACCACTTTGTTGGCCAAATGGTGGCAGGATCGAATTCGCGCCTAAAAATGTCCACGTCAGACATGCAGCCCTTGCTTGGTGATCCGACCATGCTACTGTCAATAGCAAAGACTATATCCTGGAATGCGCCGTGGAACTCTTCTTCCTCAAAGAGTAATTGTCTCCACATGCACGCTACTTCCTGCGCCGGGTTGCGGAATATTGGTCCGAGACCAAACGCGCCCAAAACCAAGTTTCGATGGCCGCAGTAGGATGCGATGCGCAGCACTGCTCGCATCTTCTCTCGCATCAACTCTCTTTCTTGTGCAAATGAGTACTTGCAACCGCTCTCGTCAAGTTTTGGGCGCCGCACTGGAGCGACTGATATCACGGGAAGTGAGGCCATGTCTGAAAAGGGTGCATAGTCTTGTTCCGGACCGGCTCTGAAAACGTCTGTGGCTTATTAGTAGTGAGTCTCGTGCCGAGGCGGACTTTTGGCTAGCACCCCAACATACACACTTCGGGAGAGTAGATGCCACCTCTTTGTGGGATGGGGTAGAAATTCTCTTCGACGCCTAATTGTGCGTTCCAGGGCATGGTGAGAGCGTGAACCAAGTTGCTTCTCCGTGCAAAGCACTCTTCTGGGGCCATGAGGCCAGATTCCCAGTCGCCACCTGCGCGCTTTTCGTTGGCTACATTGACCACAGGAATTCTTTTGCAGTTTGGGTCGGCATTGAGAGCGCTCTGGTACCAGCCCAGGGCATAGTTGATGGGGTCACCCTCCATGACTGCGACTCTGGTCCGTTGTGATGAGCGCTTGTCGACATTGACTCGTATTTGTGCAGAATCTGGATAGAGATATGACGTCTTGGAGTCTCGAATGTAGTGTTTCCAAATGTGAGGCATCCATACTCGCTTTGCTTCGGCAGCTATTTCAGAGGGTTTTGGTCTTGACTGTGGCATGACGATGGTGACGTAGGTGGAGTGTTGGCTGTTTCGTGAGCTGAGGCTGGCAGAGCAACAAGGGAAGGTGAGTCGAAGGGCGAGTCTGGAGAAAGAAAGAATGGCACTGGGGAGGGAGGGCGAGGGAGAGGGTGAGGGCGAGGGCAGTGATTTACAGCAGCACGAGACTTGAGCAAGGCAGTGCGGGGGAGGGAGAGGGAGTGAGGGCCTGTGACCAGACGGCGCCAGACCGGCCAAGGGACAGTATATCAGTCGAATGCGGGTTTTGCAACGGGCGTGTAATCAGGCAAGCTAGATCGTAGCCCTAGATCGATTCGGCGACTAGACTGGGGCAGCAGAAATGCACCAGCTACAGAAGCGGCAGTCGTCTGCGTGAATCTGGCAGACCCCTGTGGGTTGGGGCGCGCGAGGGGTGGCATTCTCGCTCGCAGCAGACACGGGGACAGCGGCTGGAGGGATCAGGATGGAGACATGATGCATGTACTAGGTGGCCGGTAGCAGCCGTGCCGTGTGTTTGCAAGCCTGGGCCTGGTGCTGGGGGCACTGCTGTGAACCCAGCCAGCTGCCAGGCACCTGAAGCCACAAAGAGCCGTGTCGGGTTTGCTGGGACGAGCAAGGCAGGGATGCGTGGCTGAATCGATCGGCCAGACCTCGAAGCGATCTGCATCGGGTTGGAAGCGGGTTAGAAGGATCTGGCGGCGCTGGGCAGCCGATGATGACAGCTTACTAGCACTTGGTAACCAAGATCCTGCACGATATAGCGCCGCAGCAATAGCGTCGGCACTAGAATCCAGATGCAGGGCACCATGGCACATATCCTGCCATCGAATCAATCACAGCTGACCGTCGAGCCCGCCACACGTAGCTGGGCCACTGTGCCACAAAGTGCGTGTTTCCCTCACCGCCAGCCAGGTGGCACCAGCAGGCAAAGAGCATCAGCGGCGACAAAGGGCCACGGCATCATCGGGCCCTTGCTGCGGGACATGGCCGCCCGGGAGGACGAAAACGGGGGTGGAGGCTGCTTACATACATGTACGTGTACACGCATTCATATACATATATTGTACATACGTAGGTATATGTGTGTGTATGTGTGTATGTGTGTGTGTGTGTGTGTGTGTGTGTGTGTGTGTGCGTGTGTGTAAATGCCGGGGCTGAATCTCGTGCTGCAAGTATGTTTGTTTGTTTGTTTGTTTGTTTGTTTTTTAACAGAAAAAAAAAGTTTGATACGTAGAATGTCTATGTAATATGCATGTACGTACGCAAGTATGATTTCCCAGTCGATACATAGTTAAGTATCCAAGTCCTTACTCATGTACTTAAATCCCCTGCTCGCAGCTAGCGTTTCAGGCCGCTCACACGAACGATTGACGAGCGCCCAACAACGGCCAGGTTGACTCGATCTTAGCGCGGGGCCCAAGCGCCAGCTCGCTTTTTCCAAGCTTCGCTTCCTACACAACGTCAACGGCAACAGTAACTGCCATTGCTGTTTATTAGACGCTACACCGCACTGCTCGACAGGTGCAGTCTGCCGCCGCATAAATGAGGTGCGTCTTGCGCCCGCTGACAACTCCTGTCCGCCCTCAGCACACGTCTCCAAATCACAGCGCTGCTTCTCCCTGGCCTCGTGCATGGCCGATATGTCGTCCTCGCTGCACTTCGACGTTTCGCCCCAGCACCATTGCTGAGCTGCTGAGGCCCTCTGCACACTCGCCCTTTGCATGCCAACCGCCTCCGGATGGTGCCACCCTGACGATCAACGGCTATGTGCGCACTGTGCGCAAGCAGAAGCGAGTTGCTTTTGCCGCTATTGGAGACGGCTCGACCTTGCGCACCGTCCAGGCCGTCCTCCCTCCCCAGCTAGCAGAAGGGTCAGTGGCTGCCTCTACTGCTACTCGTCCAGGCGCTGACAAGCCGCTCCATCAGACTCTCGACCGGCATCGCAGTCACAGCCACCGGCAAATGGACGCCCTCGCCAGGCCAAGGACAGTCCCATGAGCTCCAGGTCACTGATGTGCGCATATTGGGAGACAACGATGCCACCGTGAGTTTGCTACCGTGACCTGCACTGACTGTCTTCACCATCTGATTGCGTTATTCCGTCTCAGACCTACCCAATACAGAAAAAGTTCCAGACCGCAGAGTTTCTTCGCACTCTCCCGCATCTGCGAAGTCGACTGCCCTTCAACTCGCTTATCCTGCGGTTGAGGTCTCTAGTCACAGCTCAAGTAACAAACTACTTTGCGAAACACGACTTTGTCCAATGCCATCCGCCAATCATCACGTCTTCGGATTGCGAGGGCGCAGGCGAAGTCTTCACTGTGGCGCCTGAAGCACCAACTGCTCATGATCAAAGCTCAACCAGTCCGACTAAACCCCATCAAGACTCATTTTTTGGCTCTCCAAAATACTTGACAGTCTCGAGCCAGCTCCACCTTGAGGCTCTAGCTCAGTCAGTGAACAAGGTCTGGACTCTGTCCCCCACGTTCCGTGCTGAAAAGAGTGATACGGCTCGTCATCTTAGTGAGTTTTACATGCTAGAAGCCGAAATGGCCTTTGTCGACGACGTCAATGTCGTCATGGACACGGTAGAGGACATGTTGCGCTCCATTGCTTCCGAGCTGCAAACTTCGGCTGTAGGCCAGGAGCTCCTCGAAGCGCGGGCGCGGGACCAGGAACAAGAGAGTGCATCTGTGTCGCACGCTGCGCTCGCACAACGGTGGCAGGGGCTGATAGCCGGGCCGTGGCCAAGGATTACCTACAAAGCCGCCGTACACCACCTCAAAGACGCCATATCTCAGGGCAAGGCCGAATTCGAGTACGCGCCTGGCCATGAAGACGGCCTCCAGACCGAACACGAACGTTTTCTGGCCGAAAGCATGGGCAGTGGCGGGCCCATTTTCGTCACTGACTACCCACGCAACATCAAGCCATTCTACATGGCGCCGTCGACGGGCGCGGCAGCTAGTGATGGCGCAGCATCAACAGTCGCGTGCTTCGACTTACTCGTGCCCGAGATTTGTGAGCTTGTGGGGGGCTCGATGCGTGAACACAGGCTGCCTAATCTTGTCCAGTCCATGGAGGCCCACGGCCTCCAACACACGACTGATGAATCCACTGACGCATCAGACGGTTCCCTACAGTGGTATATTGATCTCCGGAGATACGGCAGCGTTCCGCATGGCGGGTTTGGCCTTGGGTTTGATCGGCTTCTGTGCTACCTGGCGGGTGTTTCTAACATCAGAGATGTAGTCAGCTTTCCCCGGTGGCACAAGCGCTGCGACTGCTGATACGCAGTTGAAATTGGAGGACCTCTAGTATCTCGGATCACGACATTGTAGTGTTGGCCAGCATGGTGCTTTGTAACGTGCCATGAGGGGTGCTGGAGATTATTGCTTGTTGTAGTGATCGAGACCGAGGGCCCATTGTACCTGTGCGCTGCAACCACCCTCTTGGCCAACTGGTGAGACCAAGCGGGTTAGCCCACCAAACGAGCCACCTCTGCCACGAAATATCACCGCCACCACCACAATACTGTTTTAAACAAAAATCGAATACGATAAATCCGCTGGCTCCGAATTGACTATACCAAATTGCATATGAAGTATAGTACTACTAGTGGTGTTGCAGCAGCAGCAGCAGTAATAAAGGCTTCAAGCGGGCTTCATACCGTCGGTGCTGGGTGATTTTATCTCCGACTTCGACCGACCGAGAACCACCACTGGCTCCGAATCCCGGCGGGCCGAAGCCGCACCGACTTTGGGGCTGCAAACAAGAGCGTTCAAAATTCATGTTTGTTCTCATACTAACTACTATACACATGGCAAGATTTGCTGCTTCGGCTCATCATCACGTGCGCAACAGTAAAATGCTGTCAGTTTTCATGTCGTATTTGATCGGCTACGGTAGTCGAGGACTATGCTGCTTATTTGATGCCGATATTGGCCATTAATCAGCCAGAGGGTCTAGAGTAGAGTAGAGTAGGACGCTACCGTGAGCCGTTGGCAGCGAGGTGGGGGGTTGGCAGAGTCATGCTGCACCACCACTCAACACAAGCTTTTGTAGAATACAATTCGCGTAGTCTGCGCCCGCGAAACAGGCGTCGTGGCTGGCCTGAGATGTAGGCGGAGATGATCTGATAAGATACGGGGGAGCTACCACAACTCTTCTCGCCTCGCCTCGCCTCGCATCCCCGTCAGGCTTTCGCAGACACTCGCTGTCGCACTCGGAATGTACTCCATCTCCGCGGCCACGTGCAAAATTCTTTGGATGCATCTGCCGCAGTGGTGGCGGCTGGCTAGTCGAGAGGCGCGGAAGTGAAGCATGTCTGTATGTATATAGATACAGCCTCCTGGCACGCATATGCATTGGCTTGCGCAGACAGCGTTGCCATCCATCAGGCTCCGGCATCGCAGCGACTGATAACAACGGCCAAGTTGATGGTCGATAGAGTAAAACCCCGGCCGCCGCGTTTTAGGTCTGACGTCTCGGCGTTCGGCTGAAGTCATCTCGCGCTTCCGTTACTAGTTGCAAACAAAAGTGACAACTTCAATTTCCGACGAGCGTCAACCCACCGCCGTCGCCCTCTTGCACCACCCTGGGACCTATCACGAACCCTTCCCAACCGTCTCTCTTCAAGCCGCCAACCTGGAATCCGCGGCACCTGCAGCCGGCCGTCTTATGGCCCCCCATGATCGACCAGCAGTTCCTGTCGAAGAAGAGCACGAGTACAGCTCCATTGCACCGCTGCCATGAAAGACACCAATCGCTAACTTGCGCGCCAGCTATGAAGCACTCCCACCGAATTTCTCCCTCACGGCCAACATGCTCGCAGGCGCGTTTGCGGGTGTCGCCGTACGTCCTCCGGAGTCGCCGCCATGTACTCGCCCCGGCTGACTTGACGATAGGAACACTCGGTCATGTACCCGGTAGATTTGCTCAAGGTGCGCAACATGCCTCTCACTTACTCGCGGCCTGCGAACCATGCGCTGACTGTCGGCAGACCAGAATGCAGATCGTCAACCCCTCGCCAAGCGCCATGTATAGTGGTATTTCGAACGCCATGGTCACCATATCCCGAGCCGAAGGGTTCTGGTCGTTATGGAGAGGCTTGTCTAGTGTTGTAATGGGCGCGGGTAAGCAAACAACTGCGTATACTATAGCCAAGTGTAACTGACGGATGATACAGGCCCCGCGCATGCTGTCTATTTTGCATCGTACGAGGCCACGAAGCATGCTCTCGGCGGAAACGAAGGAGAGAGCCATGAACACCACCCTCTTGCAGCAGGTGCGCAGTGCCACCTACATTCGCATTCTAGCGAGTACTTGCTAACTGTCAACAGCTGCTAGCGGTGCCGCAGCCACCATTTCCAGCGATGCATTAATGAATCCGTTTGACGGTAAGAGGCATAGTACCACAGCGCCCCGCGTTTACTGAACCCCGCAGTCATAAAACAACGCATGCAAATGCACGGCTCGATATACAAGTCTGTCCCGCAATGCGCTCGAGAGGTCCTCCGCACAGAGGGCATTGGCGCATTCTACGTTTCCTACCCCACAACACTATGCATGACGGTCCCCTTCACAGCCCTGCAATTCATGGCATACGAATCTCTCTCCAAAGTCATGAACCCTACCGGCCGATACGATCCCTATACACATTGCTTCGCGGGTGGTGTTGCAGGTGGATTTGCAGCAGGCCTTACCACACCACTCGATGTAATCAAGACGCTGTTACAGACGCGAGGAAATGCCAGGGATGTGGAACTGAAGAACGTCTCGGGTCTGGTGCAAGCTGCAAAGATCATCCACCAAAGAGAAGGATACAGAGGATATTTCCGTGGCTTGAAGCCTCGAATCATCACCACGATGCCTAGCACTGCTATTTGCTGGTAAGCTCTTTTGCAACCCACCTAGTCTGGTATTTTCTAACTCAAAGCAGGTCTGCATACGAGATGGCGAAGGCCTTCTTTATTCGGAGAAGTACGAACTCGTCCACGGCTATATAACGAGATGACGATGCAGACTGGCCCCTTTCCCAGGCATCATTTACAAAAATCGCCAGAGTATGACGATGCGTGCTTTGCAAATCGAATAATATACCTGCGGCGTCGCGGAGAGGATATTACTGCAGTACTGGGCATTTGCGACGAGGTCCAGCATTCTGTATAGAGCGGGCAGAGTGAGATGATGTATCGCGACACTCCTTACTTGGCATTGCGTAGTGAGAGAGGCTTTGAGGCTCTTCCAAACGCTTCATCTGGCAGCGTCTAAACGTTTGGTTATGTGAGCGTATGGTGGCTTGCGTAGATAATTGTACCATAGGAGAAATTCAAGACCGGCACCGCTCACGACACATCTGTTGACTTTTTCATGACATGCACAGTTTGTCTTTCAGTGCTCAAATGGCAGTGCTCTTGCGCCTGACATATTCTTGCAAAAGAGTTAGTTAATTCATTTCTTTTCTTTTTTGAACCTTTATATCTATTGTAGTAAGCTTCTCTGTAGGTGCGTAATCGATAGACGACGGCCCGCTCCTGTTTAGCCTCTGGTCACGTACCCCACTTTCGCATGCACATGCGCTTGTCTCGGGGGTTTCTCTTGCGAGTGCAAGCATTCATGGAGTTGAACCTGACTTACAGTGTCGGGTTGCCCATGTTTGAAAAACGCCACCGCAGTAGCTTCTTTTGTTTTGCTCGGTTGCCGTTACTCAGCCTTCGAGGTTGCGAATATGCACTGGGCAGCAACCAACTACGTCACGCCCCAGCGCGAAGCTAAGGCTGGCGCATGCAACAGACGACCCTGCCAATACCAGCCCAGGCCTTGGTGATAGACACTTATTCCTGTCTCCGCATCCTACACCAGCTCAAAGTGGGCGCGCAACATCTACTTCATTCGTTATGCGCGCCAACACCACCCAGAAAGCCTACGATGAGGCTTTCTTGGCCTGTTCGACCGCAGTGTACTTTGAGAGCCAGGTCAGCGCCTGTCAACCCAACAATGTCGCGTACGATAAAGAACACTAACTAAAGTCCTCACAGAACAACGAGCCAGAAGCATTGCGATCTTGGAAGACAGCCCTCGACCATATCAATTACCATAATTCTCGTCGCAACCCCTCGACGTACCGCCCCGCAACCGAAACAGAGAGAGCGCTCATCGAATCGCTACGTCAGCTGGAACTACAGTGCAAGGAGCGCGTAGATCTTCTGGAAACCTTGAAAAGGAGCCGGGAGGATTCGAGGGAAAGCTTGACCTCAGTGTCGTCTGACACGAACACACCAGTGGCACTATCTCATGGAGCGTCTCAATCACCAAATGGAGTGAACCCGTCTTCTTCTTGGCTTGGGGGTGGTTCTATACCGCCGTTGGATTACGCCGATCTCTCACGACCACCGCTACCTTTGCGCCCCGCAATGGTGCCTCGCAAAAGCTCCGGCAATGGGTCAACACGAGAAAACAGCCTATCACAGACTCGGAGCGCATCAAATTTATCTCCAGGGCCTGTAGACGAGAACAAAGCGCGTACACCATCCCCAGAGAAGAGCGGTAGATTGTTACGGACACTGAGACCTGAAAGAAAGGGCAAGTCATCATCTGGAAAGATGCCCAACTCGTTGAGGAGCCGCCCTGATGCTTCAAAAGCAGCTACTCAAGCGTGGACTGTCAGAACCGCATCAGCTTCGAGCCGCCCTGTTCTGGGCCCCTCAAACCCGTCAACTTCTTCAACGATTGCTTCAGTACGCTCATCAATAGATAAGTCAGCTGCTGAGAGGCCAAGCGTATCCTCAAGTATTCAGTCGCAACTGCCATATGTACAAGCACCGCTTTCTTCCAGAGCTGACCAACGCTCGGTATCCACTGTTCATGCAGGTCCAGCCCCTATCAATGATAGCGAGCTTCAGCCTACCAGAACTCGAGCTTCTGAGCGAGCAGCACCGCCACTTCCCCGAAAATCAGTAGATTCGGGGCGATTGGTGGGCACACCATTGGGAAGCACACCATTGCCTTCGTACCGAAACGAATATCCCAAAACTATGCCTGATCCGCGAAATCTTGCTGCATCGGCAGCGGCACACTCATATGGCGACTGTGGTGTTGAGAGAGGAGGTGGAAAGGGGAGTGTCATGTGGGATCCAACCACACGACGACTAGTACCGAAACTTACGAATAATACCGCGCGCACACGAACTGATTCCGAGCAAGACGATCCGCCTGAATCTATGGAAGTTGAGGCTGACGGGAACATTGCAAAACAAAGACGGTCTCAAGTACAAAAGGTCCGAGCTAGAGGAAACTCGATCCGCGCAGAGCTATCTGATACCCCGAGCACGGACAGTGCCGAGGGCGATGAAGAACTAGAAGAGACGGATGAATGGAAACGACGAACAGAAGAAATCATGAAGAATCTTCCGCGAGGTGTCGACAAGCAAGCCGCGCAGCAAATCCTGAACGAGATTGTGATACAGGGAGACGAAGTACACTGGGACGATGTATCGGGATTGGAGGTGGCAAAATCAGCTTTAAAGGAAACAGTGGTTTACCCGTTTTTGAGACCGGATTTGTTCATGGGTTTGCGAGAGCCAGCACGCGGCATGCTTCTCTTTGGACCTCCGGGAACCGGAAAGACAATGTTAGCAAGAGCCGTGGCAACCGAGTCAAAGTCGACGTTTTTCGCCATTTCTGCAAGCAGTCTGACATCCAAATTTCTAGGCGAATCAGAGAAACTTGTTCGTGCGCTGTTCCAGCTGGCTAAGATGCTTGCACCATCAATCATTTTCGTTGACGAAATCGATTCACTTCTTTCGTCACGTTCCAGCTCTGGGGAACACGAAGCATCACGTCGCATCAAGACTGAATTTCTCATTCAGTGGTCTGATCTACAAAAGGCAGCTGCTGGAAGTGCAGTGACTGAACGGGAGAAAGAGAAAGGCGATGCTAGTAGAGTGCTTGTGCTGGCTGCAACAAATCTCCCATGGGCTATTGACGAAGCAGCAAGACGAAGATTCGTAAGGCGACAATACATTCCACTGCCGGAGGATTGGGTCAGGAAGCAGCAGATCAAGACGCTGTTGAGTCATCAGAAACATGAGCTTAGTGACGAGGACCTCGATCGTTTGGTAGAGCTTACTGAAGGTGAGTGTGTGTGATCAATATTTTGTAGGTATATGGCTAATATCACACCAGGCTTCTCTGGGTCTGATATTACAGCACTTGCCAAAGACGCTGCCATGGGTCCTTTACGCTCACTAGGGGAAAAATTACTTTCCATGACCATGGATCAAATACGGCCGATACAATGCGAAGACTTCAAGGCTAGTCTTCAGACCATCCGACCGTCTGTAAGTAAACAGGGACTGAAGGAATTCGAAGATTGGGCTGCACAGTATGGTGAACGCGGAGGTTAAGGGATCAATCACCTGGATGTGGTGATTATCTGTATATTACTGAGTCTATTGTAAAGGATACGGGCAAATATCACAGCAAATGCTTCGTTTGCAAGTTTTTGAAGATTCAAAAGGGGGACGATAATCACCAAACACTCGCTCCTGCCTCGGTCTGGGGTGACTCCTTCCTGCTATGACATGCTCGGGACTTGGCGCCATCTCACAGTGAGAAATCCAACATTTTAGCCTTTCAACCTGAACTATTCACTCTCTCATTCCATACGCCTGAAAATTACAACATGGCGCCGCGTAAGAAGACCGAAGAAAAGGCCTCAGCCAACGAGGCAGCAGACATGGTGCTACTCTACTTGCGTGAGGACCTCTTCCTCTGAGACACACACATGCATACTACGCTTGTTGATTTTCACATTAACACCATTTATATAGGCAAGCAGAACCGTCCATACTCTGCCATCGACATCTCAGCCAACTTGCACAACAAAGTGACCAAAGGTGCGTTTCGTGAGACACAAATATGCTGTGATGCGCCTTTTTATGCAAGTCAAGCTGAAGTATGAAATAGCTGCCGCAGCCAAGATTCTCAAAGATTTATACGAGCAAAAGTTGATTGAGGGAAGGACTGCAGGTATGTAGAGTGTTGTTGTTTTACATTCTTGGTTTTATCAAGGTGATGCAATGGAGCGACTGATCAATGGTTTTGTGTGAACTAGGAAAACATATTGTATATCATGCTTTACAGGTCAGTTGGAGATATTCCTTTCCTTTCCTTTCCTCACCGCCCCCCCCCCCTCCCCCCTTTTTCTTTTCCTGAGAGCTAAGAAGTTTGACCTTTATGCAGGACGCAGCAGACACATGTACACCGGAACAACTCGCAGCCCTTGACGCTGAAATAGACAATTTGCGCACGCAAACCGCCGCTCTAAATGCCACGGCCAAGACTCTGCGGTGCACGCTTGCGTCAGTGACTTCGACGCTGAGCACGGCGGATCTGATTGCAAGCGTGGATTTGTTGGAGAGGGAAAAGGTGGAGATTGAAGAGAGGCTGGATGGGTTGAGGAAGGGGAAGGCGAGGATGGTGAGTTTGTTTTCGTCTTCTTTTTTTCGTCATCATACTAGTCATGGACTTGACTGGGGTTTTTCCGGTGTCAAGGAAGGAGAACAAGGAATCAAAATTGCTAACGAGACATGGAAACATACAGGTGACACCAGCGGAACGTCAAGCTATTGAGCAATCGTGGAAGAAGAGTGTGAGGACGGCTAAGAATCGAGAAAAGATTGCGCGTGAAATGTGGAAGATTATTGCGGACAACTTGCCGGATGACGAGGCAAGGGAGGAGCATAGGGAGATGTTTGATTTGGATGGGTAGTGAGATCCATGTGTAGTGAGTAGAGACGAAATGTAGCAACCATGCTATGCATAAATGGTCGAGAGAAGTTAAAATGAGAGGGATTCAAAGAAGAAACAAGAGCAGATGCAATCAAGATACCAACTATTCATGTTTAATTTAATGGTCATTGTCCCATGGTCGTAGTATGCATTATGTACAATCAGGTATCCAGAATCTGTCGTTAGATTTCTTCAGTTGATGAGAGAACAACAGACGTAGTGAAAGAAAGAAGAAAACGCCCTTGTGCAATGCAAACACCCACCCACATGCCATGACGGGAATCAATATGCCAAGCAACAAAGCATCAAAAGTGGATTCAACAGAGACGTATCTGGTATGCAAAGTTTTTATGAAAAAAAAAATGACAAAAAAGAAGGACGAGGAGGTAGCAGATGGGATCAAAGATCTCATCTGCCGCCTCGTTGATAGGAAAAGGAACCGTGAAGATCATTTCGAATCTCCTCGGACAGGGTATCTTGGGCGTCAAGGTCGTCGAGGGCATCGCTGACACGGGCGAGTTGGGCCAGTGTTTTTGCTAGAGCCGCGCCCTCTGTGCGGCCGCGGTCTACATTGACAAGGAGCATAATGGGAAAGGGGAGACCGACAAGAATGGCTAGGAACCAAAAGGCCTGTTTTAAGAGGGTAATTAGTTTACTAAAATTTGTGATCAGAAATGAGGAGGAAAACATACCGGTCTGATCTCTCCATAAGCATCTGTAATTGCGCCTACTATGGCGGGACCGAAAACACTGCTACCTTTGTCGGTTATAGCGTACAAGGCATAAAACGCCGCTTCGTAGCCCGGAGGAATGAGTTCACCAAACAGAGCACGGCAGTAACTGCTGAGACCGCCGAGCACAAAACCGTAAACGGCACCCAGAGGATACATCTCCCATTGCTGCTGTAGACCTAGGAATCCCAATCGCTGGACTGCCGGGATATAGCCAAGGAGTCCGTAAATGGGAATGGTTTCGAAGAGCAGGATGCAGAGCAGAATTGTTTGCGTGGGCGACAAGTGGAAAAATGACGATAGGCGTGACCAGAGAAAGGCGCCTAAAACGCCAAAGACGGTTGCAATGACGTTGATGAGGGCCAACATGGCATATGGCATTCCAAGTGTCGTCTTTGCAAAGAGAACTGCTGTGCCCGAGACTGTGGCTATGCTGTCTGACAGCAGGAACCAGGCTGCAAGGAAAAGCAGGACGTCCTTGAGATGGCGGGCATGGGTTACGGTGCGGCCGAGCGACTTCCACGAGTAGCTAAAGTATGCGAGAGCGATGCGGAAATTAGACGTCTGCTCCCCAATGTGCAAGGGTGGGCCGGGGCGAGGTCGAAGCCAACGGGCGGTGGGGATCGTGAAGAGGAACCACCATGCGCCGATGATGAAAAGAACCAGGCGAAGTCCAAAGTTTGAAGACTTGAAAGCAATGACTACGAGGATGCCTACAGTTTGGACAAGCAGGGCGGCAATGTATCCAATTGCAATGCCGTAGGATGAAATTTTGGTAGCGAGGGAAAGTTCGACCGAGGAAGCGTTGGTGGTCTTTGCCCTTGGGATGGTCAGGTCGACGCTTGGCGGAGTATGGGGGAGCAGCGCGGTGGTGGCATCTGCAACTTCTTCAAGGAGACCTTCGCGCTCTGCAAGGCGGTTGGCATAACGTGCGTCTCGGACTATGTTTTCTTGGGTGGGTGTTTCTCCGCCTCTTTCATCATCTTCTTCGGTCGTGACTTCGTCGTCAGCCACGTCCTCATCCTCGTCTCTGTCGATGAAGGAGGTTGCGGCGCTGGTGTCTGCATACTTGACGGTAGGATGGAAGCGCACGAGCAGGGGTAGGAAGCTGTTGAGCAGGACGAAGCTTGCGCCGAAGCATGTGTTTGCGACTATGGCGAGGAATGCGCCCAGGATATAGATGCTCGGGACCACAGGTAGAAACAGCATAGTGGCTATGCTGCCGATGAAGGCGAAATAGAGGAGGAACGTCTTTCTGAATCTGCCGTGGTCGGCGGCACCGCTCATACTAATGATCAACAGAGCCTGTATGAGGACGGATATGCTGAACGTGTACATGGCAAAACTGGCCGTGTTGATTTCAACGCCGAGTATGTAGACTATGCATTGTCCCTTTTCAGGGCCTGGTTTGAACAAGGCGCCAATGGGAGAGGCGGACAAGGCACTGATGGGTGATACGGCGGGTATGGTGGCCTTGCATGGCGTGGAGTGGTCGGCAAGCAGGACGCCATTTTCGCGGGCAAGTTGCTCGAGGGTGACGGGTATGAAGGAGCCAATTCCACAAACGACAAAGACCTGGGCAGGGTTAGTGGGAAGTGGGGAGGGCGATGGTGGAGATGGAGGCAGGATGTAGTAAGTACCTCAGCGGCCCATCCGTACATGTAGAAGCCGCGGAGCTCCTTGTCGCTGGTCAGGCGCGTGTCCTCGCCATGGTAGTGGGGGCGGTCTGGGGCAGCCTCCATGTCAAAGTGGTGATGGTCAGACAGGCTCTGCTCATCGTCTGCCTCGTTGGACTGGGAGATGGAGAGGACCGAGGCCTTTGACTGGGACGAGGCATTTCGGGCGATGGCTGGTCGCTGGTAGGGCGGAAGCTCGGGCGCGCGCGGTGCCATGGAAGCAAGCAGGGCTTACACTAATTGGCGGAGGAGCGTCACCGCGACAGAGACATTGCGAAGGGAAGGGAGAGGCGGCGGATAAATGCGCAGCAGACGACAGCCGCCCAATGGCCAGGAAGAGGCTAGCTGGATCTGTAGGAGGAGGGTGTGTGTGTGTATCAAGGCATGTGTGGATGTGCCAGCCAGCTGGGGGTGGGCTTGTTGGGTCGACAGCGGGCGATCCCATGGTCGCTGCTGGGCGGGCGACGACCGACCTGGACGTGTGACGATGGCTGCGCTGGCCATGGGCTGTGTATGGACGTGCATTTGCAGGTGTGTTCACATATGTATGTGTATCCAAGTATGTAAGCATTTTACAGGTACACACACGTGTATGCTCATCCACATACTACTATTACACAGACACATACGTAGGTAAACAAATACACACTGCCTCCAGTGCCTGTCTGGCCTGACTCGCTCTGCGATGCACGCCAAGACGGCCCCCCGGCCAGGCCAGGGCTGATGTGATGTCTCGCCGTCAACCTCACCCTCTTTGCATCCCCACCCATCCACGCCAGCACCCTCTCTAACCGCCCCGGCCGACAATGCCATAGTCGCCCTTCCGCGCCCAAACCCTACGCTCCTTTGTCTTCACCCGCCGCGCCCCGTCCGCCCGCCGCGTCCCCAGTCACCAGGTCCTGCGCGTCGCATCCAACTCTGGCCTTGCCTCGCCTCGCCTCGCCTTTGGCCTGCACGCCCGCATCACCATCGCCTTCTCGCCCTCCCCAAGCAGCGCAGCCGTCTTGCCTAGACAGCCACCAGGCGCGCGCACAGCGGGTGCGGCCAAGGCGCCCGGGGGCTGCTGCTCTGGCGGCGTAGCATGCCAGGCATTCTCATCATGAACCACACCGCGTCCGACGCTGCCACGGCCTCTCGCCATGGCGACTCCAACACCGCTGCCCCCAATGGCGCGTCCGCTGCATCCACCGCGCTCGACAAGTACTCCCAGCTGCCGCCCGAAATCGCCCACATTGGCCCCGAGCAGTACAACGCCCTCTCGACCCTGCTGCTGCGCGTATCCCAGGAATCCTATAATGACTTGACCTCCATCCTGCAGAAAATGGCCGCCCTACCCGTCGCGCCCATGGCCAACGGCGCCCTTCCAAACGGTATTGGCGCTGCCAATATGCAGGGAAACGCTGAATCCAACAAGAGGAAAAAACTCATGCTCCTCCAATTCGCGCAGGAACAGCGCTCCAAATTTATCAAGCTGCTGGTCCTTACCGAATGGGGCAAGAAGGCCGCCTCGGACATCTCAAAGCTCATCGACATCTTCTCGTGGGCCGGTGCGCACGCCCGCAACATGGATGCCGCCGATGACCAGCTCGAGCGGATCAAGATGCTCTCCAACATTGCCAGGGAGAACAACCCAGACATTGCGACTGCCCTTCAAGTGCTGTCCACCGGCAAGGCTTCCTGGATGCCAAGCCTCGACTACATCCCTCCCAAACCAATCTCCTCGGACGAAGCCCTAAAACTGCTGAGATATATGAACACTTCCCTCTCCATCCGCCTCAACGTCCATGAAAACTTGCCGCGACACCTCCGCAACTGGCGCATCCACTCTGGCCGAGTTACCTTTATTATCAAGGGCCAATTAGAATTCGATGTCATGTCGTTTGTTGAAGATGCTTCAGAACAATGGTTTCTTATCGATTTGCGATTGCTCTTCACCCCAGCGCCCACCGTGACCGTCGGAAGCCGTTTCTTCATGCAGCTCAAACAACAGGCCGATTTTGTGCTCAAGGACAAGGGTCTCCCTGGCCTCTTTGACTTTTTGAACAACTTTATTCTAACGCACAAAATCTCGGTTCTGCGCTCACAGGCCGCTGCACTTGTTCGTGCCGGGTGGGCAGGTTCCCTCAAGGTCGAACCCGTGCACCGTCTACTTGTTGTGCAATACTGGACTAACAAGCCCGGCAAGAAGAATTGGATCGAAATCGGCGTTTCCAACAATAGGCTAAACAACGCCAAATCCTCGTGGAGAGGCCCGCCGACACCCTCTCTGACCACCCGATGGTTCCGCCAAGGAAAAGAAGTCAAGAACGCAAACTTTGCCTTTGATTGGACAAATCTTTCCATGGAAAAAGTCATCAAGCTGGTTATTGCACGTCACACTAGCGACATACTGCGATCCACAAAGGAGAGCATGAAGTCTGGAGTGGTTGCAGAGACAGACCTGTCCGAGGCCGAACCAGCAGATTGCAGGCTTAACGCAACCCTGGGGACAAAATCAGCCTCCATCACCTTGTCTTTGGAGCCAGTCACTGGCAACCACATTGTACGGCCGGCAAGTGCATTATCAGCACGGGCCGAGAATGCCTTCAACCTGGGTAGGGAGCCAGCACAGATGGCCCATGTGATGACACAAGTACTGGCAGGCACCCTGCTTGGTTTGATTCAAAGGAATGCCCAACAGCTTGGATGGCAAACAGTTGCAAGGCAGTCGTTAACTCCGCAAATGGTTAGGTCTGCCGTCAAGCTAGACGTCATCTCGTCAGTTCTCTATTGGCCTCGTGGATGGTCGCCAAACTGGGCTTTTGCACCCATCATCGACTCTTCAGGAGAGTCATGGTGGATCCTCGAAATCGGCTCCACTGGTAACCGCATCGAGCATGCAGAGCAAATCAGGATGAATAGGCCGGACAAGAGTCCCTTGCCAATCAATCGAAGCACCCTAGCAAGTCTGGAAAGAGTAGCCATACAATTATTGTCCTTCCGTGTCACTGCACGCCAGCTGGAGAAGGAGAAGAGGATGTATGCTTTGGAGGAAGAGTTGGGGCAGACACCTGCTTCCGCACAAGGACTACGCATCGCTCGCCGATGGGTCCTGCGCGTGCAGACTCCAGACCTTCTCACTTCTAGTACAAGGGACGACAAATGGCTTGAAGCAGATATCAAGATCACATGCGAAGGTCTACGAGTTGGTGGGCAGAATGTGTGGCACGTGGCGTCTGGAAAGATGGTCAAGTCAGTTGCTGCAGATATGCACAAACTCATGGCCGCCTCACCACAAAAGGCATTCAAGTTCTCTGACGATGGTAACTTTAGGATTCTTCTTTCTACACCCTTCGGACAGGACATACTTGGGGAGCTGCGTGCACGATTACGGGATGTCAACCGTCTTCGTAGCTTCGCGACTACCCTCCAGAAACGCAGAATGCGCCTTGCATCATCCTCGCTACAACGTGTCCAATTCCTTTATGGGCCCTCGCCATACACTGCCACGGTCAATTTCAGTTCAGAGAAGGAAGTCACAATCGAACTGTCATCCAAGAACCCCCATCATCGCATCCTCAATCTGCTCACTCATATTGCCAACGACCGCTTGCCTTCTTTCATGTCCCTAGATCCCAACGACGCCAACGGGTTGGATCGTTTCTGCACGACTCTCGTCCTTACGCGCCCCTTGTTCAAAGTCATCCGCGAAATCGAGCAACGGTCGCCTGGCAATTGTCGAAATCCCGCGATACACGTCCACTCCATTCTCAAATATCGCATTACTTATGAGAACCCCGTCTGCACCTTTGATGTGCGCCTTCAACCCAAGGATGACCAGGTATTCTGGTTTGTCGAAGACAATTTACGTCCCAAAGATCCCAATGTTCTTCCTACGCCCGAACGTGGTCAGGGCCATAGGCGACTTGATAACCTCCAAGAAAAGTTGAAGGAATTGTTCAGTAGTAAAGGACCAGGGTGGTTTGGGACGCGGAACGGTATGATTGCGGAGTTGGATGCGATTCCCGATGCGCTGCGCAAACTAAACGAATGTGTGTTGAGCTGCAAGATGGAGGGTGGATATGTCGCACCTCCACCGCTCGAAAGGCCTGCACAGCACGCTCAGAACCCTGGCCAAGGAATGTCCAAAACCAATGGAGTGCAGCAAGGGAATCAGCAACAGCAGCAGCAGCAGCAGCAGCAACAGCACCAACATCAACAACAGCAGGCAAGAATGCAACAGCAGCAGCAACAGCAACATCAGGCTCGTCAACAACAACAAGGGCAGCAGCAGATGCGGATGCAACAATCCAACCAACGGGTTCAGCAACCAAACGGTAGACAACCACAACATATGCAGAACGCACGGCAGCACATGCAGCACCAACAAGGTCGTGGAGGTCGCCCAGGCCAGACGCAAAACAACGTCATTGAAATCGATTAGGAATACATATTCGATTCCCAACTCGACCCTAGTCCTTTCTTTCATCGCTACTTTATTTGACGCTTCTTTTTTCCTCCGTTCAATGTACTATCTTTCCTTGGCTGTCAAGGAAAACCTTTATCCTACGCACTTTTATTCCGTCTTTGGTGTTTCGGTCCTGCATTGGGATAGCGATGCAATGGAGATAACCTGATGTAATCTTTTCATCCCCTGTATTTTTGGTCTTTGATGCTTTTTTACCTCCTATCTTCAGCGATTCCCCCCGTCCCTTGCGCATATGGTGTTTAGGGTGTTTTTCTACGTACGAACGCGTGTGGTCGATAGACTGGATTCTGGTAGCTTTTTTTTGACTTGGGTTTAGTGGGTGTGATCTGGGCATCACCGGGCGGTCATGATTGCGTACGGTGGGAATGGTAGTGTGTGAAAGAAGAAGATATCAATAGTGCAACACAAATACAATGAATATGAGAGTTTGCCAACATGTCAACGCGAGAATTTGATAGAAATATTTGCATGTATTGTGTCAAATTTCAAGCTGTGTATCTACTAGCAGTCACCAGAGTTCGATATTGTTCTTCTATTTGGGATTTTTCATCGCCTAGTCAATGGAAAAAAGAGAGAGAAGGGGATGACATTTCATACCCTTGCATATACAATCCACGTCGACACCGGCGTCACAATAAGAAAAAAATCCTTGACTCAGATATAGAGTTCTGAAGATCGATTCCTAGCTCCCTATATCATCTAGACTGCCATTGTTCTTTGTCTTTCACCATCTGCTGCATTTCTGTATCCTTTCCCTTTGGAGAGACAATGACATAGCGTGACTGTAAAGGTGAAGATAAGTGAAAGATTTGTTGGTGAGATGTTAGAATTTGGGGCGACCTGTGATCTTATTTGTTTCTAGAGTAAGTAAAGTGAGCGATGCGGAGGTGACTTTGAGTTTTACTTTTACCTGAGTACATGAATAGGTGTGAGATGGCGAGGTGACGGTAATTCACCTTCACTCCGTCGCCAAGCCACTGTAGTCACTTCTTGTCTTAGCCCTCCCCTACGCATATATAAGATACATGGTCCACATGTTCAGCACCACCAAACTCTAAAAGAAACATGTCAGTTCCCGTGTGCCAGACCAACGACAAAATGGAGCCCAGCGAGCTTGCTATGCAAGCGGCAAGCGTCGACCTATCCAGCACTTCATGGCTGGATAGCTCCATCCTGGTAAGCCTACCTCAGCACTGCATCTCTTATACTGATGGTTCCAGGTCGAGAAGGTCAATAACCTAAAGGAAATCAGTCTGGGGAACTGTCGCCTTCTCTATGGCAGTGAGCGCGGCAAATTCTATGGTACCATAAGCCCACATTCTCCTTGCAAATCCCCCAAGCTCACATGTAGGAAAAAGACATTGTTGTCGGCGAGGACGAGAACACGAAATCGTTCGGCGCAGTCCTCACTTGCAACCAAGAAAATCAGACCAAGCTCTTACGCACATCCACGAGCACCTGCCCCGTCAACGCCGTACGCAACCTGGTCAGTGACCTTCAAAAGGATACTGCAAAGCTCTTTCGTAAGGCGTCCCTTTCTCACTTGTTGATCCTTCAGATGAATAATAGCATGTCACAGTCAAGTACGGCGTCGGATCCCAGCTAGAAGGCCAACAAGGCTACACCGACAAGGACACCGGAGAGTTTCAACTCTGGGGCACGGCCTATGACAAGCGGACAAACGGTCCGGACGACGACACCATGGGTCTCGTGAGATATTGGAGCGATGCTTTTGGTTCATCTGGGAGGTTCAACCGTCATCCCAGGAATGGTGGTGCGAATGGGTACGAGCGTAGTGGGTATGAGCGCAGGGCTACGGAGCAGATGCCTCACTCGGCGGACATCTTGAACTATGACGAGGAGTCGTAGGAGGAAACCAAAAAGAGATAGAGAGAGAGTACTCAGTGAAAGGTTTGCAGATATGGTCATGTCATGGTTCAAGTTTGGAGTGAGGGCATATGCGGCAAGGCAAAGGGGATTCTTTGAGGTTTCAACGTCTACATCTATTTTCAGGAGGATGAGCCAGGAATACGTGGTATATCAGCGTCATGGAATCGAAGTTCTGAAACTCTTTAAGTCGTCCAGATGTATCGTGTCATGTATTAGTTGTAACATCGTTGTCAAGGAGACTCAAACAATGATAGCCGCAGTAACGCGTGCGCACGTGCTGTCGAGATTGGCTTGGTCATACTAGCGTCCGCGCCATGACGTACTATACTCGTCTGGCACAGGACAATATTATTTATTTGCCAACACATTGCGCAGGAATATACTCACACTATGAATAGCCCGTCGAAGCGCAGAAAGAAGAATGATGGATCAGGAAAGCCCGTTCGTAGCTTAGACTACTTCTTCGCAAAGCAAGCGGCAAAAGCGACACCCAAGGACGCGCCTACGAATCCCACGTCTAATGGAGCGCCTGCAGAGCAAGACTACTCGGGATTGACGGATGAAGAACTTGCCCGCAAACTCCAGGAAAAATGGGATAAGGAAGATCGCGAGAGGGGTCAGAATGTGGCGCCTGTAAGCTCAAATGAGTTGTATGAAGAGCCGGAGAAGTCTACTACGAATACGGCGGCGAATGAAGGCTCAGACAACCCAAAGAAATCCGAATCACCAGCTTTTGATGTTGCTTTGAAGGAAATACCCGAGCTCGCACCTGCGCCGAAGAAAAACACTCTCACGCTACAATCAACTGCATCTGAAGAAGATACAATAACCGCAAACATACCCTTCGACCTAAGCCCGCTTGAATTTGATCCTGCGGAATATATACCCGACTTAGAAAAGCATTGGGTAACAGATGGAGGACATGCAACCTATGCTCTTCTGACAAGATGCTTCATTCTGATCAATAGCACCACGAGCCGCATTAAGATTGTAGATACTCTTGTCAACCTGTTACGGACAATCATCGAGAGCGACTCAAGCAGCCTACTCCCGGCTGTCTGGCTTTCAACGAACGCGATATCGCCGCCATACATTAATCTTGAGCTAGGACTTGGAGGGTCTGCAATCTCCAAGGCGTTGAAGAAGGTGTGTGGATTGGACAATGCAAGCTTGAAGGCCTTGAGCAGCAAGCACGGAGACGCTGGCGATGTGGCATTTGAAGCAAAGAAGAAGCAGTCATTTACCCTTCGCAAACCAAAACCGTTGACCATCAAGAGCGTTTTCGACTCTTTGATTAAGATTGCAAATAGCAAGGGAAATGGCAGTGTTGAAAACAAACAGAGAATTGTCGAGAGATTGGTCCAAGATGCGAGAGGTGCGGAAGAAAGTCGCTATGTCGTACGAACCTTGGTACAGCATTTGCGCATAGGGGCTGTCAAGACCACGATGCTAATTGCATTGTCGCGAGCATTCATGTTATCGAAGCCTCCGGGCGCTGAGTTCGAGACACGCAACCGAAAAGATACGGCGAAAATGAAGAAAGAGGAGCTGGTTGAAATTTACAGCAGGAACGAGGAAATCGTCAAAGCATGCTTTGCCCGGAGACCAAACTACAACGACCTCATACCTGTGCTTCTTGAGATTGGTGTCTGCGATGAGCTGCTCGTGCGTTGCGGGCTAGCCCTTCATATTCCTCTTCGGCCCATGTTGGGTAGCATCACACGCGACATGGGCGAGATGCTCACCAAGCTGCAAGGCCGAGATTTTGCTTGCGAATACAAGTACGATGGACAGCGAGCACAAGTCCATTGCGATGCAAAGGGCAAAGTCACAATCTTTTCGCGACACCTGGAAGTCATGACGGACAAGTATCCCGATTTGGTGGCGCTAGTACCCAAGATTCGGAGCGAAGGCGTGTCGAGCTTTATCCTCGAAGGTGAAGTGGTAGCCGTTGATCGAGAGAGTGGTGACCTCAAGCCGTTCCAGACACTAGCCAACCGCGCAAGAAAGGATGTAGTCATCGGAGCAGTAACAATCGACGTTTGTCTCTTCGCGTTCGATCTCATGTACCTCAACGGCGAGGAACTTCTTAACCGATCCTTCAGAGAACGAAGATCGCTACTTCAAAGCCTGTTCGTCGAGATCCCCCACCACTTCACCTGGGTCAAAAGCCTCGATGCCACATCCGCCGACGTAGAAGCCGTCCAGACCTTCTTCCAAGGCGCCATAGACACCAAATGCGAAGGTATAATGGTCAAAGTCCTCGACAACCTCCCCAACCCGGATCTCCTCGCCGAGATAGATGAACCCGGTCTCGAAAAGACGCCCTCACTGCCCCCTACGCCGAAGAAAAAGAAACCTAGCAAGTCAAAAGCAAAAGGAAAATCCACAGAGGCTGAAACAGACGAGCCCAAAGTCTCGGGTCGCCGCAAAGCCTTGCTATCAACATACGAGCCCGATAAACGCCTCGACTCATGGCTCAAGGTAAAGAAAGACTACAGCACCACCTCGGAAACACTTGACCTAATCCCCATCGCGGCATTCCACGGGTCTGGCAGAAAAGCAGCATGGTGGTCCCCAATCCTCCTCGCAATTCGCAACGCAGAAACAGGCCAACTCGAGGCAGTCACAAAGTGCATGTCTGGCTTCACAGACGCCTTTTACAAAGCCAACCGCGCCAAGTACGATCCCGGAGATCCTGACTCGACTACCGTGTTACCCGGTAAGCCACACTATGTGGAGTACAATGGTGGGGCGGGCACGCCGGCTGTGTGGTTTGAGCCACAGGAGGTGTGGGAGGTGGCTTTTGCGGATTTGACGCTCAGTCCTACGTACACGGCTGCGATTGGGCTGGTGAGTGACGAGCGTGGGCTGAGTACGAGGTTTCCGCGGTTCCTGCGGGTGAGGGAAGATAAGAGTATCGAGGAGGCGACGGAAGCGGAGGAGTTGGCGAGTTTGTATAGGAAGCAGGAGGCCAAGGCGCCAAAGAAGGACAATGGTGGTGAGAGAGAAGTGGAAGATGAGGATATGGAGTAGGAAACATCATCACTTTGGTAATACTGTTCTTGATACCCCTTCATACAATATTAGTAGGCACGCGAAGTGGAACATGTTGTATGTAGTGAAGAACACTCTTTAATTGACCATGACTAGAAGACTGGTGTCTTGTTTGTCTTGTACGAACTATCCTCCCATCATCCTGCCAGCACCTGATACATCAGCGTGCAAAACCTCCGATACCCGCATCTGTTACTCCAAGAGAAATCGAGATACGAGGAAACCGTAAGTCTTCCGCGGGATACTTGCTATGCCGTACCGCATCTCAGCAGCGTGGATCGTGTGTGCTACGCGTCCGACGTGCCGGCATGCTCCTCCTCCGCCGTACGAGTCTCGTTGTCGTCAGGCTCGAAGCGGTCGCTCGGCGTGAGGAGCGGCGGTAGGCATAGCGTATTCGACGCGGTTAGAAGCCGTGAACCTTGATGGTCTTGCCATCAAGGCCGAGGCCTTCCTTCTTGTCGGTCAAGAAGTCCATAACATCTTTGCGTTGATCACCCTGCAACTGGATCACCTCTCCCATCTCACTGTCTGCGACGACGGTGCCATTGCAAGCAAACTTCTTCTTGATGACTTTGAGAATCTTCTTCTGATCAAACTTCTTGGGTAGGCCTTGGACCGTAGTTAGAGTCTTACGACCATTGCGTTCTGTGGTGCATTGACGTCAGCCTTGCGTGATTTGTTGGGGCCGGACCAGGGGGTTCCGGTCAGCGGATTGGCGACCACGGCCGATACCGCGGTGAGGAGTGCGAGCATTGTGTGTGAAGATGCCACGACATGGGAACAAGGGGGAAATACGTACGCTGAATACGGATATGGATGTAGTTCTGCTGCGTAGACTTTACTTCGCCTCCAGCATCGTCGACCTCCGCGAACGGATCGAAGGACTTGAGATTCTGGATGTCCGTGGTCATGAAATCGACTGGCGCGATCTGCGGGTGTATGGAGAGGGCGAGCGTTGGAAAGTGGCGGAGAAGCGGGTGGAAGCAGAGTAGAGGAGTGGGTGTGAGGGAAGAGGAGAGAGGTGGTAGCCTGGGGTGGTTGAGGTTATTAAGCGGCCCAAGGGTGGCGAGTGCACCTGGGCACCAACACGGCCAACAGGGGCGCCCCATGGCGGTCTAAGCCCCACTGCCAAGCCATGCTGCCACCGCTATGGGCTAACTGCATGTGACAGCACCACAGCAGCACCACGACACTTGCTAGCATCTTCTGTCCATTCACCGGCCCGCTCGCGTATCATTATTTTATCCCCTCGCCCATCACCCGCTTAGTCACTATCCTGCCCATCTCAGATGATCAACGCCGGCCTACTGGGTGTCGAAGAGCATGACACCTTGTCATCATGACGTTTCATGTCTCTGTCGCGCTACTGCTGCGAGGAAGCGCCTCCACACTGCGGGATCGCCTACCAGGAACACCCACGACCGCCCGATTCCCCAGAAATATGCAGCGCACAACGAGTATGAGTACAAGATTCTGGACCCTCCCGGTTTCATCCGAGTGTTGCTACACGTTCCATTGTCGCGAAAGGCTCGGGATCGCGAAATGATTCGTCTCAGGCCACTGAGAACGTCTCAACATCAAAGCCCTCCACCTATGCGTCTTCGATGCAAGCACCCAGCCTGCTTGGACACGATTCATGGCCATAGTTGTGCATAACGCTATACTTTGTATAGTATTTGCAATCCCAATATCGTGTTCCGATTTCTCGACAGCTTTCGTCGCCATGCTATCAAATCAGTCGACTTACCTCTGCAGATACCTACCTTGCCTTGACCACGACGCTGTCACTGCCCAGTTGTTCAGTCAAGCTTCAGCACGATGGCCGTTTACTGTAGCTTAACTACCCTTAGCGTCGTTTGCGAAGCAGGTTAGAAACATGCCAAGTATAGGTGGGTAACCACGGCGGCTGAAACGATACCAGCACCATCTTGTGGTTTTTACCATGTCCTTCTGTTCCTCTGTTATTACTCTCCTTCTACCGGTCCCCTTCGTTTTCCAGTGCATTGTAATTGGGCTCATCTCAATTGTTTACCGCCACCATGCGCCTTTAAACGTTGTTTCTTTTATAATTCTTTCATTTTCCTATTCGTGCTGGCACGCTTCTTTTAATACTAATACTGTAGGCGTCAAGTGCCAAGCTGTCAGGCAAAGTTCTTTTTACTCTCGCTAGAGGCTTCGAGATTTTAGACCTACAATCTTAATCGTCTCTAGAAAGATGCGATCTACAGTGCTTTTGGCTGGTGCTCTGTGCGGCCTTTCCGCTGCCAATCCTCATCCATGGATGTATGGTGTACCCAAATATCCTGATCTGGATATGAACGAAGTTATGACGCAGGCGGATGTCGACACAATGATGGCTGTTGGTGAGATCAGCGCGGCATCAGACAGCATGGTGAACACTCAAAGCTCTACGGCCCCGTCATCAGCAGCATCGGGACAAGAACCATGTGCGGTTGTTGGCAAAGCCCTCGCTGCACTGCCTTCTGGAGCCCGGCCTATTGTCCCTGCGCAACTTGGCCTACAATGTCTGCAGTCTGTTCCCATTGATCAGCCAGGAAACGTACAGCTGATCGACGATCTCAAGTTGATGGTCAAATGGCAATCCAATCTTGCCTTCCTAAAGAAACCGCCCGCGACATATACTGAACAACCTGTCGACATCATGGGACAACTCGATAATATGAGGACCCGAGTTGCGACTGGAGGTTTCGCCACTGAATACGATTTTCAGCTGGAGATGATGGACCTCTTCACCAGCGCCTATGACAATCACTTTGCCTATCAGCCAGACATTCTGGCTTCGGTAATGCAGTTCCAAAGGCCACCTGGCTCGGAGCTGGTATCCGTTTCGTCTGATGGTATGGCCTTGCCAGAAATCTACGCATATAGGGATGTCCTGAAAGCGAACAATGCCTCTTCCTTCACACCATCAGCTATCAAGAAGATCAACGGCATGGACACCCAGGAGTACCTTATGAATGTATCTTCTACTTCCGACTTTCACGATGCCGACACTCGATGGAATGCGTTGTTTCCTTCTCAAGCTCTGCTTGCCTCTGGCACCACTTTTCTTGGTTCTTTCCGTACTGGCCGATACCAAGGCCCTAATACCACCTTCGAATTTGCAAATGGCACGACTTGGTCGCAGATGAACGTTGCTGTAGTTATCAAGAACTTCACTGGCGTCGACAGTGGTAGTGCATTTTTCCAAAAGTTTTGCAGTGGACCTCAACCTCTATCTGCAGCTCCAGCCGCAGCGCCTCCTAGCAACAACACGACCCCTTCAACTCCCGCAAATGCCCCTAAACCTTCGCATATTGGGTATCCAAAAGCTGAGATGATAAACTCCGACCTTGCTGTTGGAGGCTACTTTCTTGACGGCCCGGCATACCAGGTATACTCTGACTGTTATACTTTGTACTTGTCTAACTTTAATAGGATGTCGCTGTTCTCAGCATCCCGTCTTACCAAGCCCAAAATCCCCAAGCCTTCCAAAATACTATGCGTAACTTCATTCGCATGTCCAGGCAACTCGGCAAGACAAAGATGATTTTTGACCTGCGCGGCAATGGCGGAGGCAACGCAATCCTGGGCTACGACACCTTCAAGCAAGTCTATCCACAAGCAGTAGCTGAGCCATATGGTGGAACACGGTACCGCGCCAATGAAGCCTTGAATATTGCTGGAAACATCACTTCCTCCTTCCTGGCCAACACTACGTATGCGCAAAACAACCGAACCGCCTTTACTGAAGCCCTTGGTGCAGACGCGACGGACAGCGACATCTTCGCCCTGTCGGCGCCGTTTAACTACCAACATACGCTGGACGTAGACAACAAAGCCATTCCCAGCTGGCTGGATTTATTTGGCCCGGTCGACATCAAGGATGACAAGTTCACGCCTATCCTGCGCTACAACTTCAGCGACAGCGTAAGCACGTCGTACACTGGCTTCAGTGTCATTGGCTACGGCGAAAATGCAAATGAAACAAGTACGCCGCAGCCATTCCGCGCAGAGGACATGGTGATGCTGCACGACGGCATGTGCTCGTCAACATGCGCCATTGTCTCTGAGCTGCTCAAGAACCAGGGCTCCGTCCGCACAATCGCTGTAGGAGGCAGACCGCAACCGGGCCCCATGCAGGGCGTTGGCGGCACAAAGGGTGCACAAGTATTCGCCTGGGATGATATCATTGTCCGCATGCAGGCTCTGTATGCCTTGGGCTCGCCTGACCAGCAGAAGCAATGGGACGGCATGGACATTGGCAAGACGGCAGCCGTTGAGCAGCTACTCAAACGCTCTGCCTACAATGGAGGTCAGGTTGCAGGCGGCGTCAATCTCAAAGACAACATGAGGCTCAACGACAAGTCAGGTGTGCCGTTAGAGTTCATATACGAAGCAGCGGACTGCAGGATGTGGTTTACGCCCAGGATGATTACAGATGTTACCGAGGTTTGGAAGAGTGTGGCGGATCGCATGTTCATGGGAAATGGGACTTCGCTTTGCATACAGGAGAGCACTACGAATCCAAGTAGTGTGTCTGGAGGTGGCCAGTTGAACGGTGGAGATGGGACTGCGACGGCCAAGAGTTCCAGTCAGTTCACTGGCAAGGGAGTCATGGACAGTGGAGCGAGTCACATGGGTACGCAGGCTCGGTTCATGAGCTTTGCGATTGCGACAGTTGTGATGAGCGTTCTAGCGTAATTAAAAGATACGGCTTTGGTCAGAATTAGTGTAATAATATAGCGCTTTATATTCAAGAAAGAATACCACACGTTGATGAAGTCCAGACAAAGGCGATTGAGTGAACGCTGAAAAACTGAATGATATTTCGTACGCAGGTGCCTTGTCCAGACATAGCGCATCGTTTGCACGTTACCTCCTACAGACTGCTTGCTGGGATGGCGGTGTACTTTTTGGGGGTATATGGTAAGCCATCTCAAGCCATTCCTGCATTGCTATCCAGAATGACTGGCATGCCGCCGTGGCATGCCGATGTAGCTCTGATGTCCGCTTCTAACGCCGACCGTGCCATCCATAGTCTCATGTCATCATGTTCGCTATCATATTGCTCATGCTGGCTGCTCATACGCCCTCTTGATAACCCTTGCAAATTCTACGCGCATGTTAGCAGAGCCTCACCAAACCTATATGGATATGAACTTACGGTCAAATTTGACGTTTTCACGGACAACGGTGCCCTTAGCCTCGTTATCCTTGTTGATGGGCACCTTAATCTTGTCACCATCGACATTCCATCCACATACGCTACCAACAAAATGGTCGAATTCGCTTCCCGAGAGGTTCAACCACGACTCGAGGATGCTTCGGTCAACCTCGCG